ACTCTGGACACTGTGTGGACCACAGTAACAGCCCTACTGGAGATCAACTAGTAAGAGCCGCCCATTCATTTGTCCATCCAGCTGTGTCACGTGCTTCCTTTGGGCCAGATAGTGTTACAGGCACCTGGTATGTGGTGGTCAGTACTAACGTGTCTCCTCTCATCCAGCAACAGTCCATCTCCAGACACACGCTGGTGACATCATCAGGGCTGACTACACCATCATCCACACAAATTCTGCATGTGAAACACCCAACTCTACTGTAGGAGAACCCACCCCAGGTTTGTAAGAACAAAGAAAGGCAGGGCTGGGCGTGGTGGCGCCCACCTTTAATCCCAAGGACCCCTACTCCTTGAGTCAGAAAAGGAGTCACGGTTACAGGTTAGGACAAAGATGCTTCATCCTAGTCAGAATTTTCCTTTGCTTTTTTGTTTTTTCAAAACTGTAGTCCTGGCACTTGCTCTGTAGACCAGGCTGGCCTCGAACTCAGAGAGATCCTCCTGTCTTTGCCTCCTGAGTGCTGGGATTAAAGGTGTGCGCCACCACCACCTAGCATCCTGGTTTATCTTAAGTCAAAGCTGGATGCATTTGTAGAGTCAGGTAAACACAGCCATAATTCTAAAACTTTTATCTGCTTAGGGACCAGAACATCATTTTTACTTCTGGTCCCAAATGGCTGCAGACATGTGAAGATGTATCCATAAAACCCTGAACAGCTAGTGCACTTGATCTTTTATTAGAAATTGTCCTGTGTGTGCGTGCGTGTGCGTGCGTGTGTGTGCGCGTGTGTGTGCGTGTGTGTGCGTGTGTGTGCGTGTGTGTGCGTGCACGCGTGTTCATTTGGGTGCAGGTGCATGCATATGTGTGGGTGCACGTGTGTGTGGAGACCAGAGGTTAACCGTGGGTGTTATTCCTCAGGAGTCATCCATCTTATGTTTAGAGACAGGGTCTCAGGCTGGCTATTGCCCTGTCCCTACCTTGTCGTCATTAGGATTACACACACCACCACCACTCCTGCCTTTTTACGTGGGGCCCGGGGATCAAACTCAGGTCCTCATGCTGGTACGGCAAGCACCTTACCCACTGAGCCATCGTTCCAACCCGAAGAATGTGTTCCAGTCTTGTCTGACTCTCTCTCAGCCCAAAGAGGGGACACTACTATGAAAGGGTTACCAGCAGTTTAGTTTAAGCATGGTAGTCAAACGACACACTCGTTATGGTGTGTCACTGCCAACCGCCCTAGTTACTTTTTTATTGCAGAGAGACACTATCACCACGACAATCTGTAGTAGAGTTTATTGGGAGCTCACAGTCTCAGAGGGTTGGAGCCCATGATCTTCACGGTAAGAAACATGGCAGCAGAAGGCACGCAGGCATGGTGCTGGGCATGTTTTGGGAAGGATTAAGGGGTGTGGCCTTGTTGGAGGAGGGCGTGTCCTGCAGGCGGGCTTTCAGGTTGAAAAAAATCCACACCATTCCCAGTTAGTTTGCTCTCTCTTCCCACTCGTGGATTTTTGTCTCAGGACACAAGCTCTCAGCTACAGCTCTGATGGGGACCATCACCATCCTCACAACCTCAGGGTGCCACGTCTCCCCACCACGGTAGTCATGGAGTCACCCTCTGACCGTAAACAAGCCCCCCCCCCCAGTTAAATGCTTTCTTATGCCGGGTGGCAGTGGCGTGTGCCTTTAATCCCAGTACTCAGGAGGCAGATGCAGAGGAATCTCTGTGATTTTTCAGGACAGCCTCGTCTACAGAGTGAGTTCCAAGACAGCTAAGACTACACAGAGAAACCCTGTCTTGAAAAACAAAGCAAAGACTCCCCACAAAAAAAGAAAAAGAAAAGAAGGAAAGGGAAAGGAAGGAAGGAAGGAGAGAAATGTGTCCTCATGTAAATGGCCTTGCTCATAGTGTCTCTCTTCTCAGTAAAGGAAAGGTGACTAAGAGAGCCACGCCTTCCAATCCTTCCCAAACCGTTCCACCAGCTGGGGACAGGGTATTGAAACAGATGAGCCTGTGGGAGCCATTCTCGTTCAAACCATCCTACCAACCGCTGAAGCTTTGTTGGAGATGAAACCATGAAACAAGATCAAGGTGTGTAGAGAGTGGTAGAAGGCGAGACAGCGGCACGGCCCCTGACCTCTGGCTGTGTCGCTGTATGGCTCACAGCCATCTCTCAGTAGACACTACCGTGGTATGCTGTGGTGCTGGAGCTTGTTCTTGCTAGAAGGTGTCATTGCAAGCTTCGTAGCTACCTGAGCCAAGTAGCTGATGATCTCAAGACCAGTGTTCAAATCAGTCTAAGGAGAAAGTGAAGAGTCTGGATGCTATCATCCCTGCAGCCCCATCCGAGCCAAACCCTTCTTTTGTGATGTGTTTTGTTTTGTAACCCAGAACGGATAAAATTCCTTCCCAGGGAAGACATAAGCAATGTCTCCCTCTCCTCAAAGGGTTCCAGTGACAAACAAATGATTCTACGGCCAAAGTTCAGTCTGAGAAATCAATGCATTTTGGGGGCTTCCTTACAGAGTATAAGTGAGAATTACAGGGTGTGCTCCTTCCTACACAGAGAGCACTAGGAAGGGTTTACCAAACAGGGAGGAGGACTTACTCACAGCCTCTTCTCCCAGGCTTCCTCAGCATATATACTCTGGCCCCTCCCCCAGTCCACGTGCAGTTAAGGCAGCTACAGTAATTCTTTTGTAAGTGAACACAGCCCAACTAGGCTCCCAGGGCAGCTACACACAACACCAGGCTGGCCGTGAACTGGATACATAGCCAAGGATGACCGTGAAGGATGGAATTACACCACGAAGACTTGGCATAACAGGCACGCAATTCCATGCCTGGTTTCTGTGGTACTGGGAACCAAGCCTAGGGCTCTTTGCATGGACTCTGACAACTCAGACACACCCTCTACCCCCAAACCCCTTCCCCAGGGTTCCAGGCAGGGGTTAGGCAGCAGCAACAGCTTCCACCTGTGTTTGAGGCCTCCCTCTTCCCCAGCAGGCCACAGTGGCTTATAACTCCCTCCCAGCGTGGCTCTCCCCACCCCCCCAAGCCTAGGCTGCTCCTGGTATCTTCATCTCCTACCTTGTAAATTGTGATGGTGTCTTCAAAGGCTTGATTTCCCAAGAATTAGGAGACTGGAGGCAGGAAGTTTTAATTTTAAAACACCATTGGGCAGAGCCCACATGGAGAGCTTTTTGTTTTTTGTTTGTTGTTTCAGAGGAAAAGGAAATGGGAGAAAGGGGAAGGGGTGGGGCCTTCTCTGGGGGGGGGGGACAGGGTCAGCAGAAGAGTGAAGGGGGACAGAGAGACCGGCAAAGAAGGGGAGGGACAGGGGCGATGGGGAGGAGGGGAGGGCGGATGGGGGTGGGCAGGGCCCTCTAAGGAGAATGTAGTGAATGCGCACAGGTGGTGCTCTCAGTGGCTGCAGCTGTGGGCTATCCTGTCAGAACCCCAGGGGCAGGCCAGTGCAGATGCCTGAGTACTAACAAACTCCAGGCCAGTTGAGGATACAAAGTGAGACCCTGCCTTAAAATAAAAGCAAGCAAACCAATAATAATAAAGGCTTTATTGTGGGTGTAATACACACTCCTTATAGAAAATACAGGGCAGCAAAAAAGATGAAAGTTGGGCTGCGGAGCTGGCTCAGGGAAGAAAGGTACCTGCCAGGGGCAAGTCACACACACACACCACACACACACACTCACACACACACACACACACACACCACACTCACACACACACACATACACCACACACACACATCACACACACCACACCTCACACACACACAGAGACACACACACACCACACACACATACACACACACATCACACACACACACCACACACACACCTCACACATACCCCACACACATACACACCATACACACACACCACACACACACCACACACCTCACACACACAGAGACACACACACACATATACACACCTCACACACACACCACACACACACCTCACACACCACACACACATCACACACACCTCACACACACCTCACACACACACACAGTGACACACACACATACACACGCAGACACAGACACATACACACACCTAATTAATTAAAATTAATTTAATTTAATTTTTTTCAAGGCAGGGTCTCACCATGTAGCTCTGCCTGCCCTGGAATTCACTCTGTAGACCTTGAATTCAGAGATCTGCCTGCCTCTCCTCCCAAGTGCTGACATTAAAAGCATGTACCACCATGCCTGGTGCAAAATAAAATTTAAAGATAAAAATAAAAGTGGTTTGAAATCCTCCTGATGTAGGGGAAAATGTGTATGTATATATACAAACATATATACAAACACACAGATGTTTTTCTGTGTGTGCTTATGTGTGAGTGTAAATGTATGTGAATGTGTTATAGGTATGCATATGTATTTATGTAACTGTATTCGTGTGTATGTATGTATGAGTGTGGATGTTTCTGTATGTGTGTTTGTGTTTATGTATGTGTTTGAGTGTACATGTATATGAATGTGAGTATATATGCATGCATATATGCGTGTATATGTGATTGTGTATCTGCATATGTATGTGTGTGTGAGTGCTAGTATATGTGTTTGTGTGAGTGTATATGTGACTGTTGTGTATAGGTATGGATGTATGTATGTTTGTATATGTAACTGTTTTCGTGTGTGCATGTCCGTACGTATGTGTGCGCACGCGTGTTTGTGTGCTGCTGGTTATGGAACCCAGGGCGCACTGCCCGCATCCCCACCCGCTGAAATGTTTTTGGCTGTGGAACCTGCGGCTCCTTTGCGGCTTGCCCTTGCGCTGTCAGGATCTGGCCCTGGTGAGGCCCTGGGTAGCACCGGCTGCAGCGCGCGGTCTCCCTGGACCTCCGGCGTGGCCCAGACAGCCGGCTCTGGCTGGAATGGTTAGCTGTAGCAGGGCAGCGAGCCAGCGCCTCGGGTTACCTAGCAACTAGCGCCCTAGCAACAGAGAGGAGGCGGGCCGGAGGGAGGAAGCCGGAAGCGGGAGGCGAAGCCTCGCGAGGGTTGGTTTGCGCGCGGACTCTGAGTGCGGCGGGTCGGTGGCCCGGACCCGCAGCATCTGTCACTCATGGCGTTGGTGCCTCCGGAGCAGCGGCCCTCGGCGGCCCGGGCCCGGAACTTGCCCTGGTAGGAGCGGCCCCGCATCCTGCTTTCCACCCTCTTCTTGGAAGCTTTGTGATCGCCTTTCCGCTCCCGGCCTGCGGCCCGCGTCGGCACTGCAGACACCCGGCCTTGGCGCCGCAGCCGCCCGCACACCCGCTCGCCTGCGTCCACACCAGTCAGCGCAGCGCAGCCATCCTTGGGTGCCTAGAGCATCGCCAGTGCGCTTTGATGACCCTGAGAAATCGGGCCTGACTTCCTTCGGAAAAGCTCAGAGACCGGGGGAGGGGCGGGGGTAGTGGGGAGGCTTCCATTCGAACTCAGGTGTCCACAGCGCTGGCTTTTTTCCTTTCATATTACCTTGTATTTATTTGCGGGGGAGGGGAGTGTAGCAGCGCACCCGTGTGGAGGTCAGGGGACAACTTGCAGGACCCGGTTCTTCCAGCAATGTTCCTTTGCTTGCTGAACCATCGCGGGCCCCCAGCGCTTGCATTCTGCACGGTCCTACAGCAGCTAGCGATGTTTTAAAGCAAGCCTGACCATTCTTACTACTTTTCTGGTCTGTGCCCGAGGAGGAACTATTGTCGTGGGCCACAGGATAAGGTCACAGGAATGGAGTCGAAGACTGTGGCCTTTTGAGTCCGTTTTCTCGGTCAAGGTTGTTCCATGCTGTAGCATGGCCCAATTAAATCATAACTTCCTTGTGCATATTTAAGTATGAGCTCCTTTTCAAAGCCACATGCCTGTTCAAGTTGTTCAGGCTCAGTGCTCTTGACTTGGGGGCCCGCTTTGGGGGTGGGGCATCAGGGAGTTGGGTTGTCCTGCCCACTGTAGGATGTTCAGCAACCTCCTGACTCCTGCCCAACAGATGCCACTAACACCCACTGCCCACTTATTACAGCTAATGGCCTGGCAGATGTCCCCTAGGGGACAGACTCACTCCTGGTTGTCAGAGCCCCTGGCTGTATTGAGATTGAAGAGTTTCTCTTCCTCTCCTGCTTGGGGATGTGAAGGAGATTCTTTGCATGTGACAGCACATGGCTTGCATCTGTACATGTTGTAATTTGTGCTGAATCCCATTTCAGGGTTGAAAAGTACCGGCCACAGACCCTGGCCGACCTCATTTCTCACCAGGACATTCTGAGCACCAGTGAGTATCCCTGCCTTTTGCTGGTGTCCTTGTGGGAGGGCTTGGGTACATTTGGCGGCGATGCTGTCTCTGCTGGGAGAAGGCGTAAAGGGATGGAGCGTGTTGGTTCCTCTTCCACAGTGCACTAAAATACCTCTGAGGGCACTTTTAGAGATATTTCTTATTTTATTGTTTAGGTGTTTTGTTCGCACACATTTGTCTGCGTACCATGTGAGCCTGGCGCATCCACAGGCCAGAAGAGGCGTCGGGTGCTCTGGAAGTGCCGCTGTAGGCAATAGTGAGCTACAGTGTAGGTGCTAGGAACCAAACCCAGGTCCTCTGTAAGCGCAGCACTCGCTCAGCTCACTTGACTGCTGAGCCATCTTCCCAGTTCCCCACCCCCTAGACTCCATTCAGAGGAGGGAAGATTGATTTTGCCTCAAGGGTTGAGAGGTTTTGGCCCACGGTCCCTGGCTGCACTGCCGAGCAGAACTTCGAGCTAATGGGAACACTGTTCACTCGTGTGGACAGGAAGTAGAGGGCTAAAGGGCCCAGGCATGACCTTCAAAGGCAGTGCCTCCAGTGACTCATCTGGAGTCCTCGGAAGACATGGTCACACCGAGCCTTGACTCCAGGACTTAACCCCCACCTCCTCTGACACCGAAGGACTGAGCACAGCTCCAGGCCCCATGTGAATGTGAGGGTCCCGGGGGCTGACATTGTCCCCTTCCTCCCACCTCAGTTCAGAAGTTCATCAGTGAGGACCGCCTGCCACACCTGCTTCTCTATGGCCCTCCGGGGACAGGAAAGACATCCACCATCCTGGCCTGTGCCAAGCAGCTGTACAAAGATAAAGAATTCAGCTCCATGGTCTTGGAGGTGAATGGGACATTCTCGCTACAAAGAGCTCAGACCGCCAGAGTCTTAGCTTTAGCCCTGCTGTTTGTCTTTTTCTCCCTGGCCTTCTGCATGCTGGATTGGTTTGGCCTTCGAGATCTGGGTGGGGGTGGGAGGTGTTGAATAGGGATGCTGTTTGGACCCACGGTGGGGGTAATCCTGGGCAGCGTCCACTTCCTCCAGGGCCCAAATCGGAGGTCATGCCCTCCCCACAAGCTGCTCTGCCTGCCCACAGCTCTTGTCGAACCCTTCGGATTTAGGGGTGATAATGAGTTCTGCGTAGCCCTGTAGCTTCTTTAGACCAGTGGTGCCCATTCTTCCTAACGCTGTGACCCTTTAATACGGTCCCTCATGCTGTGGTGACCCCCAACCACAAAGTTATTCTCATTGCTACTTTATAACTGTAATCTTGCTCGTTGTGACTCGTAATGCAGATATTTGGTCTGAGGTGACACCTGTGAAAGGGTCCATTAATGCCCCTCCAAAGGGGTCTGGCCCACTGGTTGCTTCAGACTCCACACCTTTATTCTTAGATTATTACACTGAGATATGTAGTCTGTGCATGTTGGGACCGTGGCTGATAATCTTAATACCCTTAGATTACAAAAATCCGCATGCTATGTTGAAAGAAAGGCACCTGGGGGCCTAGGGACATTGCTCAGTTGGTAGAGCCTACCATACACAAAGTCCTGGGTTTGACCCTTACCCACGGTCATCTTAGGCTATGTGAGTTCAAGACCAACTTGAGGACAAAAGACCTTCACTCAAAAGAAGAGCATTTGACTTTCGCAGTAGACAGGAGGCTCAGCCCCTTGCTGTTCGGTGTTCTTGCTTTAGTTTATTCAAAACCCGATGGCCTCCAGGTGGCGAGCGCTCAGGTTAGCATCATTTTCTCTCGGCAGAGGTTACTGGTTCAGGGTCACCAGGCTGTGCTTGATTCATAAACTTACGTGGACGGTCCCTGAAGGGTGGGACACAGGTCATGCCTTTCAGGATGTTATGTGGCGGTGGTGTGTGGCTGAACGGTTGTGTCTCAGCTGTCGTCAGAACTAGAGAACTAGCTGGCGCTACTGGAGTGCCGAAAAGGCAGTTTCCAGCCAGGACTTCCTAGCTGGCACAGGGTGTGACTTTCACTGCAGCCTCTCTTCCGAGTGTAGCTGAACGCTTCTGATGACCGAGGGATAGACATTGTCCGGGGGCCAATCCTCAGCTTCGCCAGCACAAGGACAATCTTCAAGTAAGAATTGTATGCTGTCTCTCCCTAGAGGTCTTAGTGCATGAAGTCGGGGCATAACCTCACTACTAAAGTCTTCCCTTTGGCCACTGTCTAGGGAAGAAGGAAAGCTGGTCAGATGCAAACAGACCAGTCAGGGACGGTTCAAGAGATGTGGGGTGCCAGGGTAGGGTACTGTTGAGCCCACATCAGAGGCAACCCTTGGGGGTACTGGCTCCATGTGGGTCGTTAGCTGGGTAACACTGGATGAGCTGGGATAATGGAGATCAGGAAGGATGACTGGCGTGGTGGACAAAGTGAGGAAAGGAAGGGGGCCCTGAGATGGCTCAGTGGGTTAAAGTACTTGCCACCAAGCCTGATGACCCAAGTTCGATCCTCAGGACCTACCTGTGAAAGGCGAGAACTTACTGGCACAAGTCATCCTATGGCCACCATGTTTATGCTGTGGCGTTCTGCACGCGCACACGTAGTGTAATAAATGGGCTTGGGTGTGCGTGTACCTGGATGGCCTACTCACAGCCCTGGGTTCCAGCCCCACAAGCAAGCAGCCGGCAGAATAATACTGTGAGTGAATCACAACCACACAGGACAGACAGGACAGCAATTAGCCCTTACTTCTGGCTATGGGGTGGAGGAACGGCAGGCAGGTGTCAACCTTCTTGGGGTATTTTCTCAGAGAAGATGGACCAGGGGTGAAGATGGAGGCTCAGCCTGGGTGTGGGAGGGAACTGAGGGACCTTCAGCATGTGTTTGTTCTCCTAGGAAGGGGTTTAAGCTTGTGATCCTGGATGAAGCTGATGCCATGACTCAAGATGCCCAGAATGCCTTGAGAAGAGGTAAGACTTGCTGCCCCATCTGATATGCTGGCCAAGGAGTGTACAGGAAGCCAGGAGTTCTGGGTGTGAGATTATCTTCCCATCAGGAGGCACCTCTTAGTCCCGGTGATTCAGACGACTGCCCTGTGGCCTGGTCCCCTTCAGCACCCCAAATATGGCTGGTCTCTGTCATCTCTTCGTCCTCTACTGCGGCCTTCGGGTACAGAGTGGGACTCTGCCATTCAGTGGGGACAAGGCTTAATTTCCTAATCTACTTGGGGAAAACAAACCAGAACAAACAGCAAGACTGTAGGAGTGACTATCGTGCGGAGGGTGCCTGTTTTGCTGTGGGTGGGGCCAGGGGCAGGCACGCCTGTTAAAGGCCCTTCTGTGAGCAGCTCCCACTAACACTCCCAGGGACCTGCTGTGAGTCCCGAGGCGATGAGGGAAGGAATGGGAGAGAGGAGGAGGGACACAGACAGAATTTCTTCTGGTCCTAGAATGTTGGCACCCTTCCTTCAGCATCTTGTTCTGCCAAGTGACTGTCAGTGTGGGCAGATCTGTGTGGGGACACTGGGTCCCTGCAGAGTGACATTGATGTCCTGTGCATCTCTCAGCACTAGCTGAGAATGGACTGCAGGGAAGTGTGCACAGCCATCCCCGGCTAGAAAGGCGGGACTTGGCAGCCTGCCAGACAGCGTCTTAGGCAGGGATGGGGCTGGTGGACAGCCTCGAGGAGATGACAAAGATGTGTTTGTGTGCTCTAATGGTTTGTTATTAGCTTAGAAAGGGTGGTGACTCATGCCGACCCAGCGCTCCAGAGGCTGAAGCGGGCGCATCTCCTGGAGTTTGAGGCCAGCCTGGGCTACAGAGTAAGATCTACCCAGGAAGGTGGTTGAGCTGGACCTGTTGCTCAACACCCTGCTACACCCTTAGCCCCTGCAGGCAGCGAGCTCTCCCGCTCTTACTGTGGTTAACCCTTCTGAGGGCCCTCTGGAAGGTCAGGGTGGACTCTGAAGTGTTTGGTTTTCCTCCCCAGTGATTGAGAAGTTTACAGAAAACACCAGGTTCTGCCTCATCTGCAACTATCTGTCCAAGATCATCCCTGCCTTGCAGTCTAGGTGCACAAGGTTCCGATTTGGTCCCCTAACGCCGGAACTCATGGTTCCCCGCCTGGAGCATGTAGTGCGAGAGGAGAAGTGAGTTGGCTTCACAGGAAGGGGAGGGCCTTGGGGACTGAGGGGCATGGAGACTGGGCAGAGTGCCTAGTCCAAGGGGAAGCCAGCCTTGGGGACTACTGGCTGCTGCCATTTTCCGGGGGTCCTGAATAGGCTACCTCATGAGCCTGCCATCCTGAAAGCTGCCCCCTCTGTCATGGGAACTGACGACTGCTAAGTCCCTTTTTGTACACACTGCCATTTGGCTGGAAGGGACGTTTCTGAGACAGCCATTCTAGGCCGTCAGCTCTGGTAGCTTCTGGATGCTGTACATCGGGAGAGAGCTGTCGCCTCCATTCTGAAGTTTTTCTTCTCTTAAAGCCCTAATCGTTCAAGGCCATCTTGTTCCCCATGGATGATGTTTGTACTGTTTGGGGAGTGAGGGGGCTTTAGTTAACTCCTTTGTCTGTTTCCTTTTAGTGTTGACATCAGTGAAGATGGAATGAAGGCCCTTGTCACTCTGTCCAGTGGGGATATGCGCAGGGCTCTGAACATCCTACAGGTACGATTCCACTCCAGGCAGATTAGAAAACCACTGGTTTGAAGTAGCTTTACAAGATGGACAAGACAGCCGATCCGTACGTTCTTCCAGACGTCCAGCGACACGCACCGGCTTGCTGCCTGTGGTCCCCTAAGCGAGACGCAGCAGCACCAGCAGCGGAGGGCAGCTCTCCGCTGTGGGAAGGGCAGGATTCACACTGTCCCTGGCCTGTGCCCTGTCACTGCAGCAGGGCAGCCATTGACAGCGTCTGGGTCCTTCTGTCTGCAGAGTACCAACATGGCCTTTGGGAAGGTGACAGAAGACACCGTGTACACCTGCACCGGACACCCCCTCAAGACAGACATCGCCAACGTTCTGGACTGGATGCTGAATCAAGACTTCACCACCGCCTACAGGTGTATCCTTTCTTGTGGCTGCCGTCAGGCTTGGGTCTGGGGGGCCCAGGAGCCCCGGCCTCAGCCAGCACCTGCACCTCTCAGGTGGAGGCTGTCAGCTGGTGGACAGCAGGTGTCCCCAGGTGGAGAGTACACTTCTCTTCCTGAATGGCTCTGGCCTGTGAGAGGCCACAAGTAACTTCTCCCTTCAGTTAGGCCTTGGGTGGAGAAAGGAGTCATTAACTTGCTTTGCAGTGAAAAGAAAGGCTACAGAGAACCGTGTGCTTTTAAAGGGTGTTTTCTCTGCTCTGCTAAGAGACAGCTGTACCTCTTAGAAAAGCCTTATTGAAGATAAAACCAGTTTAAATTGGGCCTGTGTGCAGCTAGAAGGGGAGAGGCGTTTGTGCTGGAATGAAAAACCCCACTCTGAAGTCACCAAGGGCTGGTTGAAGCCTCCCTAAATCCCTAAAGCGTGTTCTGGAACGGTTTCCCCTCCCTTAGCTGCTCCTCCCAGACATCATGGAGCTGAAGACTCTGAAGGGCTTGGCTCTGCATGACATCCTGACTGAGGTTCACTTGTTTGTGCACAGAGGTAACTGGTGGCCCCGGTGTGTGTGTGTGGGGGGGGGGGCATAGCTCTGGGGTGGCTACAATGGGTGAATGGGTGTGAGGTCTTCACTCCTGCACAGAAAGTGTCTGGCCAGCCCTTCATCTTCAGCAGCTCTGAACTGCTGGGGAGTGGAAATAACCCCCTAGGGGTGAAGGCTGTTCCCTCAAGGGAACATTGGAGCAGTGAATGGTATATTTTACTTTTTACTCTTGTACATGCGTGTACACACATGGCCTACTACCTCTGGGCGGTGTCCACAGACCTGGTTTTGGGGACCCTCACCCAGGGCTGTGGCACCCTGACGCTGTTGTCCAGCCCGTCAGTTTCTTTCCTTTCCAGAGCCGCCTCCCTCCAAGGGGAGATCTAGCTACAGCTTCCTTTGGAAGTTTCGTGCTTCCTGCCTTCTTATAGGGGTCAATCTCTGCTTGGACCATGCCTTCCAGTTGCCCTGATGTTTCAGTCAGCATGGGGTGGGGGGAGGGAGTGGCTCTCCAGGGAACCCTCCACATAGCCTTTTGGAAGCTTTTCTCAGACAGCTGCCTCCTTCAAATGGAGAGGCGCCATCAGGCAAGCACTATTGTGTGCCTGTGTGGGACCCATTGCTTAAGTCTGGCTTCCTAGTTCCTATGTAGCTGTCACTCACCATGGACAGTGTTGACTTGTCTGTGTTGCTATGTTCACTGGACCAGGGGATGAGGACTATGTGTATGGTCGAGTGTTCTTTCTGTGTTTGTTTTTGGTGATACATACGGGTTATAGAATTTATCTCTTAATGTATGCTAGCCAGGTACTCTTCCACTGAGCCACACCTCAAAATGAATCACACAACAGCCTATAGACACCTGTGGGGCCTGCACCTTCCTTAGCTCATTGGTCTGGTCTGTCGCGGGCCCGTCAGAAGCCCCGTGTGTGATGTGTGGTTGCTTTGTTTTATATTAAGAAGTGACAGCTCATACTCACTTGATTTTGTTTTCTCCAGTTGACTTTCCATCTTCGGTTCGGATACATTTATTGACTAAAATGGCAGACATTGAGTGAGTGTTTTCCCAGTTTCAATTCTTTGGATGCCCCCTCTCCCGCTGTGAGCTTTTTAGTTTCAGCTTGTATGCCATTCAGATACGTGCGATCTAGGTTGGGGTAGTGCCAAGTGGATGTGGTGAGGGCTGGCCGCTGCCTGCAGAACTCAGGCAATAGTACAAAGGGCAGGCACAGCTCAGTCCCATGTCTGAGCAGAGGTCCCTTCAGTCCTCCAAGCTTTAGCTCTGCCTCAGATGGGGTATGCAGGTCGTTTGGGGGTGCCAGGCTACCCTGCTTATTAAGGCATTGTGGTCTAGAGGAGCCCAGTGGAGGAAAAGCAAACAAGCTGTTTCCCACTTTGTGCAGCTCAGGAAACACTGTCATTAGTCCCGAGTGACATTGGTAGCTGTCATTAAGTGGACAGCACACTGTGCCCCCACCGATTGGCAGTATCACCAGCTCTGGCAGGCTGTCACTGGGTCTGGTGGACAGACTGGGTCATTTTCTATTGCTACACTGGGAGTGATTTTGCCTTCGGTGGCTAGGCGTTTAAAAGTGACAAGATGACACCAGCGCCCTGCTTTACTACCTAAACCACAAACCTGCAGCCCCCTCCCGAAGCTCCCTGTCCGTTTGTATGCCCTCACCACCCCTCCCTGCCGGCTGTGGGGGTGTGGCGGGTGGAGTCCGCACCTGCTGGTGCTGGGTTTTCACAGACGGGAGTGTTATCCAGAGAGGTTCGTCAGCTCTGGCGCCCTCAGTGCGCTTCATCTCAAGCTGGGGTCACTGTCCTCAGGTACAGACTCTCCGTCGGCACCAGCGAGAAGATACAGCTGAGTTCCCTCATCGCTGCTTTTCAAGTCACCAGGGACCTGATTGTCTCCGAGGCCTAGCCGCTCCAAAGCCTGCTGGCCTGCCTGGGGCCCACTGGCGACTGGAGGACAGAGGGCTTGTTTACAGGTGAAGTACAGCCCTGTGCCGCTGAATAAAGCTGGTCACAGAAGCTTCCCCCAGGCATTTGGGAGTGCTGTCTGCTGTTTGGAGCCGGGATCTACAGAGCAACTTTAATCTGTGACTATCCACTGCTTGTCTTTTGTAGGGCAAAACAAATCTTTGTGTGTGTGTGTGGGGGGGTATGCTTTGGGGTGCTTTAAAGTCGTGACTGTCAATTGCTGGGGTGACAAAACTGGCCTTACCTCAGTTAGCTCTGCAGTGTCAAGTTGAACATGCTTCAGATGTTGTCCAGCTCAAGACCTGCATCTCCGAAGTTAACCTTTCTCACTTTTGTATCTGCTTTAAATGGGTGCTAGTGGGTTTCTGATCAAAACTATTCCTAACATGGTAACACACCTATAATCTCAGGACTCGGGAGGCTGAGGAAGCATTACCAGCTACTTGCACGTCAGCCTGGTGAGATAAATTATGTCAGAAATACAACACGCGTCTGTTGTTTACTTTTAGAAGGCTTCCCTGCAGGTTCCAAATTCTGTTGTGACAATAGCAAAGAAACTGTAAAAATACTGTGCCTTTCTGGGCCAGTGGCTGTGCAAGCCTCACTTGTTGGGGGGGGGGGGGGCTGAGATGCTGTGGGTGTTCCTGTCTGTGCAGCTGGGCTATGCCTACACTAGTCCTCCACAGTAAGAAGGTGCTTGCTCAGTGTTCCATGTCTGCTGGCCTGCCCACATGCATTCCTGTCAAGGCCTTTGTAGCTCATGTCACAGGATAAGCTCTCCTCGGAAGCTGTTGCTTAGAAAGCTCAGACTGTTGCCTCCAGGCCTCTGTACAAGGGTAGAGAAGCATGTGCTTTCCCCGAGCTAGACAGGAGGCTGTGGACATTGGGGGGCATCTGGTGTGCCACGACCAACCCGCTGTTTCTCAGATTAGCTGTGTGAGATGCCTCTGAGGTGCACACACTTTCCGCACAATGGACCCTGAAGTTGAGTGTGTGCTAAGGGAGAATTGTGTTTTCTGGTCCATGGACAGCTTGGCCCCAGGTGGTCGGGGCTGGGGGCAATGTGTCAGGAGCGGAGACAAGTTTGCTTGTTCTCTTTTCTCCCTTCAATGAAAGCCTCGTTTTGCAATGTTTTTCTTCAAATGCTAGAGGAGACCCCCTCTGCACACACACTGTACACTGTTAACACTGCCCCTTAAAGCATCAGTTAAGAAAAGCCAGAGTAAGGTGTTGTTTCTTTTAAAATAATTTAAAATATATTAACTTTCCTAAGGCAGATCTTGTGTGAGTGAGGCATCTTGAATAGGTAGCTGTTCCCGCCGGTGAAGAGCGGTGCTTGGAAGGGGCTGTCTTTTAGGGCGGTTGGAATTGGAGGGTGAATCCCATGAGGTCAAGCAGCAGAGACAAACGCACGCACGTGACAGCATGAGCCAGTGACAGCACTGGCTTCACACAACTAAGACATGGCTTCACAACTGGGCCACTTAGAACTCTTGGTTTTTAAAGACCACTGAGAAAACACAGCTGTACCTTAATATCTGCTGAGAAAATACAAATAAATATGATGCTGATAAATGGCCATCTGACCGGCATGCAGTTGAGGACACCTGCTCGTATGATCTGGTGTACTTGTTTGTCATTCCCTACACATGCACACCACTGTTTAAAGAAAATTAAAAGCCAGTACTAGTGTAATGACGAGGAGCACGCCCAGTTCACCTACTGCAGCTTGGTAACAGTTCCATAGGAATGTCCTGGCCAGAAGCATGTGCCAAATAGAGTGTTCTCTGACCAGAGCAGAGGAACTTCAAACCATGCTGCCACTGACTGGGCACAGGTGGGAGGCACTTCCCAGTGAGGGGAGTGTGGGCTTGGCCACCCCCAGACAGGCTCCGGAGCATGCTTGCTTTCATTACCCAAAACACCCACAACTGTACCTGGCTTCAAGACAACTAGACTGACAAAGGCTGCTCACGACGGACAAGGACGAGGTAAGGCTGGCACCACACAAGTGGCATCGCTCAGACCTACTTGCACATGCCAGTGGGGAGGAAGGTCCACAGCGGGTCCAGTGTCATCGGGCTGGCTGCACCCTAGCCAGCCCCTTGCATTGCTTCTGCTACAGCAGTCGGGATGGCGGGCGCTGCTAGAAAGTCCTGTACGTGAGGAACTCTTTCATCTTCTTGGGGATTGGCAGTGCTAGGACTTGGTACGTGGTCAGGAAACTTCGGAGGGCTTTCCTGCATAAATGCTTCAGTGAGGACAGGACACGGGGGGCTGTCCAGAACTGAACATGGCCATCTCTCGTCCTGAAACAACAGAGACCAGTCCTTAGCAGGCCCTAAAGTTTTCCCTAGAGTGGCTGTCCCAGTTTGACCAGGAGCTGAAGTGCACTCTTGCCTGGGAAGGGCTATAAATTGCGCAATAATGACTATTCGATAGGATTATGAAGATGCAATTCATGCCTGTGGTCCCAACTGCTATTTAAGACTAAAGCAGGATGAGAGCCTGAACCAGATATTCAAGGCTGGCCTGGGCCGTACAGTGACTGTCCAAAAACAGGAAAATGTCTTTGATAACAAGAGCTATGTGTCAGCACAGCCCTCCTACACAGCTCAAAAGGAAAGGCTCTGGGACAACAGTGCTTGCCTAGCACAAGGTGGCCCTGGGCTCACACAATGACATCGTGCCACGACCAGTTACAGAGCACAGCTGTGGGGCGGCCCTGCCATGACTGTCCACATAGTCTCCATCCCCTTATCTCAGGCCGCCTCGTGGAGCTGGCCATTCAAGGGAGTATGGACCACAGGTCTATTGCTGCATTTAGGTTAATTACTAACATCTGTAAATGACACAGTGGCAGGGCAGAATATGTTAATTTCATGTAGCCTTAGACCATCTTAGGCAATACTATTGTAGACAAGGTATAGGCAAGAGGCGCTACTGCCTATCTGTTCAACACGGATACATACCCTGTGGCAATAACTCCACCATGTGGGAAGAATGTGCAGCAAAGACCATTGGTCATAGGAGCAAAGGCTACTGGAGCCTTCAGTTCCAGAGCCCAGATCCTGAGGAGCCTGGATGGGAGAGAGACGGTCACGTGTGTGCTGAGCTGGAGGCCAGCCAGAGTGCCTGCCGTTACTTGTTAGTACCAGCTCTAAGGCATCCCTCCTTACCTGTCATCTGCCACTGTAGCCAGGTACAAGCCTTCAGGGGAGAAGCACACAGACCGCAGGGAGCTCATGTGGACGTCACTGTCGTCCATGGGAGGTTCCAGCTGGGTGTGACTGCAAAGAAATAGCACAGGCCTGGAACGATGGTTACACCCGCAGGCGGCGCACAGAATGCTCTGGCCCGTGCTCCGTCTGTAAAGCTGTAGCCCCTATCTGCAGACTGGAAAACAAGAGCCCCAGAAAGCTCCCAGTGTCTTGAGGTGTCAGAAGGCTTACCAACACTTGTGCTAATTTCTTTGTGCAAAGTAGGTCAGCCCCCACTTTAATGCCACAATGAAAATGCAAATTCTTTTTTAGGCTCATCTGTGATAATTATAGGACTACTATCACTTGCTTAAGAAACAACAGAAAGTAAGAAAAAAAGTAGAGCAAGCTTGTGAGGACAGGGAACTTTACACTGGAGGTGACAGTTCTGCTGAGAGTCACTGTGAACCTGGTACTATAGTTAACCTGTGGAAATAGTCATTGTGGTCTCCTATTCTGAACCAATATACTTGAAGAGTGCTCCGCACCACAAAGCACTGAGCCAGCTGCACTCTTCCATCCAAGCTGCCCCTCCCTGTCCCAGATTGCAAGGGAGCATGTGTAACCCCGACAAGGTCCTTACTGAAGGGACCTCAGCCTCTCGCCAGTGTAGGGGTCCCACATAATCACGCTGGTGTCGTAAGAAGCTGTGACGAGCAAGGCAGAGTCAGGAGAGAAGTCACAGGAGACAACACTGCTCTGGTGGCCTTCTAGCTTCCGGATTAGTGTGTAGGACCGCATGCTCCACAGGAAGACCTGCGACAGGACAGAAACGGTCTGGTGAGGGGCAGAAGCAAGGTGCTTAGACACCAGGCAGTTACAACGGCAGAAATCCAGATCCTGCCCCTCAGGCAGGGAAAGTGGAACTTCCTCCTTCTCTACAGCCCTACTGGGGCTGCAGAGTCCTCGTCATGCAGGCTTAAGCATTTAAAAGGTGCAATCCATTGTGAGAGCACACATGCCAGGCCAGACTACAAAAGGTTGCCTACTCAGCGTTCACACGGCTTTCTGATTCGTCCTGGGGACAGGGTGGCAGGGCTAAAGGAGGGAGACCTCTGCATCGGTAGCTCATGAGGAGTGGGCTCTACAGACCAAGCAGCAATGCCCTTTCCCGGATATTTAACATTCACCACACTTAAGAACCTTAGGAAGCCGGTCGGTAGTGGTATACATCTTTATTCCCAGCACTTGTGAGGCAGGAGGCTCTCTATTAATTTGAGGTCAGTGTGGTCTACAGAGTGAGTTCCAGGACAGCCAGAGCTAGGAAGAGAAACCCTGTCTCGAAAATACACACACACACCCTTTGGAGTCCAACCCATGACTGTATCAGACCTAGCTCCTAACTTTAAACCTTGCTGAGAATCATCAAAACAGGGTTTCCATTTATTTCTTCATAGCTCTTGAGACTGGAGATGTAGCTCAGTAGAGGGCTTGCCTATCTCCCAGAGCTCTGGGTTCCATCCCCAGCACTGCATAAAATGGGTCTGAAGGTGCAGGTTGGAGGATCAGTTCAGGGTCATCTTTAGCTACATAATGGGTTTGAGGCCAACCCGAGTTATGTAAGACCCTGTCTCCAAGAAAAGAGAAGGAAAACTCTTCACTCTCGCTCACTCCAAACCTTTTATGATCAAGTTCCTGAGCTATGCGCCCTTCTAAACACTCTCATCCCATCACATCTGAGGGCGCTCAAGTTGACAAACAGCAGAAACTACTTCTGCAGACTGCTCCTGGCTCCAGCACCTTTAAGACAAAAGGCCATGGCTGCTGCTCTCAGGCTTTGAACTGCAAACCCTAATCACAGGGAGTCATTAACTGGAGAGACTCTAACTCAAAGGAAACCAGGGTCTGGATGTGGGCTGTAGATTTTAAAATCCTGGACTCCAAAGGAAGGAAAAAGTCTGAAAACACTGCACTTGGCCACTCTAAAAGGAACCACCCCCAGAGATGAAGTACCCATTTCCAAATCCTCTCCCGGGTCATGTTCAAGTGCCAGCCTCCAGATGTAGGGCTTGGACACACACATGCTGTGCACACTCACACACTGGCAGATGGGCTCTGCACATGAATGCAGTACACACACATGCTCAGGTACATGCATGCTGTGCACACTCACACACCAGCAGATGGACTCTGGCTCAGGCACACGCATGCTGTGCACTCACACATGGATGCTTACCGATTTCTCTCCAGCCGCAGAGCACAGCATGCTGCAGTCTGGGGAGATG